CTGATGTCAACACCCGTAGTCTCCAGGTGAGCGAGCAGCACGGTCAGAAGTGACGAAGCGTCGCACCTCTCCACCGTTTTACCGAAGAATTCGGTCACGACCTTAGCGTCTCGGAGGAAGGACAAGTAAACAATCATATGTTTACCCCTTCGCCGGTCTGTGCTCTCGTCCAGTTGAATGTCGAGAAACGGTGAAGATTGGACGTGGCGCATCTTCTGTTGCTTCAGGTTTGACACAAGTGCCTGGGTCATCTCGCGGAAGCCGTACCTGCGCAGCAACCACAGGAAAGGTAAGATGGTTGTGAATAAAACAAACAAGCCCGGCAACGTCCACATCGATACGTACTCGGATTGATACGTTCCGATCGCCTTATTAGGTATATCGGGCGTCCCCAAATCTGCCAGCAGGCGCACAAGATCTGCAAAGCCTGAAATTGGGGAATCTGACTTGCAGATATACAGCACCGTGAGCAGGAGTTGCTTCAACCGAGCCATCTCCTTGTCCACGTTCTCGAAAACCACGATGCTTCGTTGCGCGACCTTAGCGCCTTCCACGCGCAGCTGATTGTCGACCGCGTCCTGATGCTTCTTACTCAGGCTATGCTTCCGCATAGACTGCCGCTGAATGTCAACCCCGCCCTCGCCGAACTTCCCGTACTTCCAATGCGGAGGACCATGAGCCATGCAAATGCTGCACTTCATGCATGGCGTGCCATCTTTCCTCTGTGCAATGACAAGCTGAACTTGCCCTTCCAAAAAACTTTCGCCATCGTTTCGAGCTTTGACATCTGGCTGTCAAGATCAGGTACGTGAATGGTAGACGGACCAGGATCTCCGTCTTGATTCCCGGCCTGCAGGCCGTGAAGACGCCTGTTCTCACGCAGGCCGCACGGTGGGTCGAGAAACTATGCGTACGTGAGGCACACCAGTCTTTGCAAAACGGAGGGTGCTCTGGGTGAAGCGCCCCACCTTATGGAACAGTGGCGCAGCGTATGAACGTGCGGCACTATCGGACGACTGCGCTCTCTGAGATTGTAGAGGACGGTGAGAAGGAGGCCTAGGCGAGATGGGAGGTGTGCTGCTTGAAACCCGACGAGCATTAAGCTCTGGCCAATTCACGTGCGCCACTTCAGCAGCTACTACGCGGGTGGTTCCTACGGCGGCTGGCGGGGCCCTACGCAGAAAGTCCAGGCCTGTCATAGGTGTACGGGCCTGCGGGGGGGGACTTTTCCCCTGCGTCCTCGTCGTCCGCCATGGCGAGGAGACGGACGAGTTTCGAAAATGGTAGCGTCACAGCAGCAGATACTAGCGTGAATGCTGTTGGAAGAGGGGGATGGAGAAGAAGGGACCCCTGAAACCCCAGCAGCCGTGCATCTACTCCTGCCTTGGTCGAAGCGCGCATGTCGAAAGGACCATGGGATGGGTGGCTCCACTTGTTTGTGTGATGCCACCGCATCTTGGTTCTTGAAGCTTCGGTAGGCGCCGAATTCAGCTCTCTGTGATGTGGAAGTGGCTCTGTTGTCTCTGATGGACCAATCCGACCCTTCTACGTACAACACACCCGGTCCTCCGTGGGCAATGTATGACGGAGACTTACCTTGTGTTGGTCAGAATCAACTTCTGCTGCAGCCTCGTCTGCAATGGTGGCCAAGTGGGTCACGTGTAGGGACGAGGTGCCAAATGAATGGTGTTCACGACCCTGCATGCACACATGCCGAGTTCACGCCTAAATCACGCCTAAGGGAAAATGTCTCGGTATCAGACGAAACCGAAACATGTTCCTGATTCATCAGACAAACCGCAAAAGTATTCTTCATTAACAGGTTTGTGTAACAGATAAACGCAAAAATCATTTCTGTCTAATCAGATGAAACCAAGACCATTTTCTGGAAAACCAGATGAACCAGAAAAAAACCGTCTGATAATAAGACAAGCAGACAAGAAATTTCTGCTAGGGAGAGCCCTGATCCCAGTTTATGAGATGATCGACCCTCACAGTATCATGGTTGGTTATGCAAACAGTATCATCTTTCTCCCGTAAATGTGTATATTCTTTCAAAATCGATTAGTAGCAGGGCCTCAGATTCGTTTTTGCCTGGGCTAACCGGTGAGTGTTGTACAAAAAAAAAAAAGCTGAAAAATCAGTGTCCTGGTTTAAAAAAAGGCTGAGTAATCAGCCTCACTTAAAAACTAAGGCTGAACAAAGCTAGAGACCATTTTCAAAGTGCTGGGTGAGGTGGGGGTGTTTGACGTGGGGGCACGCGGTGCTTTGCTGTGCGTTGTTGTTCTGCTGCAGAACTTCTGCACCGAATTGACGCGTCGGGAGATGGCAACTTCGGCGTGACTAACGGGGTATGTACCTAGACAGCCGAAACTCACGGCTCCTACAGAATCAGTAGTAGCGCCTTTACAGCCTACACCCTCGTTAGTACGCTGATCAATCAGTCTACACTTGTAAAAAAATCGCTGGAAAACCAGCCCATACACTAAAAAAAAAAACTGAAATATCAGCCAATACATTATCCCCATGTCTGAAAAATCAGCCTTCTGACACCAAATCAGCCTTTTTTCGCTGACATCTGAGGCCCTGATTAGTAGCAACACTTCTGTATTTTTGTTTGCAGAAATTGATGATTGTTTCTACCACCGAGCTTGCAGCACCACTTCTTAAAGTAAGCAATGATTTGTGCGAACATCAAAAGCGTACAGAGACAAGAGCAGGTCATACAATAGCGCGGACAAATAAGGTACCAAAGATCTACCTTGCAGCACGCACACCAGCACTGCGTCTCCGCTTGCTGGTTGCAACAAGCACGGATACTACCAGCAAGCGCAGACGCAGCTCTGGCGTGGGGGGCGCATGGAAGACATACGGGGACGCAGCTAGGGGTGTGAAATGGCTGGCAAGATGACAACCTAGAAAACCGGGAAAGAAAGCATTCGTTGACAGATGCGCGGGAGGACACTGGAACCGCACCGGACCCACGCTGCTGGTCCAGATGTCAATAAACGACACTTGAAAGCCAGCAGCAACTGAGAGTGCGCGAAAAGAACATTCTACGGCTGCTGCATGCGGTTGACGCCGTGCGCGACTACGAACTTGCCCTTGAACAGATTCGCATCCACCACCACCGACCACTGCCGCCGCTTCTGCCCCTCCTGCCCCAGCGCCACCACCGCCCCGCGCGTCTCCTTCACCGCCAGAATCCTGTCGTCGTGCATCGTCTTGAGAATCGCGCCGGCCTTGATATCCTCGATAGTGAGGTACCCGTCAAGCACGTTCATGAGGCCGAGATCCTCGTACTGCGCGCCGTCGTCCTCGTTGGTGGGCAGCTTGCGCACGCCTGCGCCGACGATGGCGCCGTTGGTGGGCAGCAGCAGCGTCTTGTTCACCACGTCGCTGAAATCAAAGCTCTCGGGGAACTCGTCTGCGCGACGACGACGACGAACGAACGAGAAGAAGAAAAAGAGGGAAGAAATAAAATCATGAACATGAGTATGATGGTCTCATTCAATTTAAAGTCGCGTATCAATTACTCTCACAGTAAAGAGTGCACAGCGGGGGTCGGTGGGGAGCGGGGGGAACAGTGGGTGGGGGCGTCGTCCCACCTGCGGGACAGCAGCGTGGAGGCGACGCGGCGGATGAGCGCGTACTTGGGGCGTTTGACATGGTCAAAAGAGCATCTCACCTTGACTGCGGGAAGTGGACGGGGAAGGCAATGTCTCACCTTGGCGACTCAGCAGCGTGGAGGCGACGCGGCGGATGAGCGCGTACTTGGGGCGCAGCCTGAGCGCGCGCTTGAGCGCCTGAAGCTCCGCCACCACCTCCGCCTTGGGGGGACTGGCTACCTGCGCCACCGCCAGAGACGCCGCGGCCAGCAGCAGCACGAGCACCGGCAGTGCGAAGGACGGTTTACCCGCAGCCATCATACTCGTTACAAGGCGATTCGATACTAACAGAGGGGAATGGTGGCCGAAAAGAACGGAGGCGAATGTGGAGTATGGTTCCTAGAGTGAGGGGTGGTTCTCGGAAATGACTCCAGTGAAGGGGAAAGGCGAAGGCGAGAGCTGCTGAAAAAGGGTCTGCCCATGGCTGTATTTTATAGCAAGGTGCTATCCTTGAAGTTGCTCTTGGTATGAACTGGTACGTGTTTCCGCCATGTCTGTGGAGTGCGATGTGGGATCGGGTCGCATCAGATGCCACCGCCACCATTTCGCGCGCCTCAGTACTGTACTACGGTTTGAGGCGCGTGGTTGCTTTTACTTCAGAGACGCGCTGAACAGAACAGAGGCGCACCACTGCGTCGTGTCCCAAGAAGAGAATGTTCAGAACATAGGTCCGAGAGATAAGGTGACCACTAGGTCAGAGCATAGGTAGGTACTCTCTACTAGCTACGGTCCACTTGCAATATACAACCGCGTTTACAATGTCGATCGCTCCGCGCGGGATGTGGAATTCCACCACCGAAATTCTTCGTGAAAAATGGTGGTGGTGGGCTGCCGCGTGCCTAGAAACGAAGTGCCAGCTCAGCCGAGGAGGTGGTAGCCTAGATTACGGCCTAAATTGCGGTGCTGCTGTTTCGCAGTGTACAAAAATTCAACATCAACATTACTGCCATTTGCTGTGCTACATATTGACTATAATTTTCCAACAAAGGATGCCGAATCGAAGGCTATGTAGTGTGCATTCTCCAATAGACTTCAAGGGGACAGAAATGACATTTTGGGCGTAGATCAGAAAAAATAAACCCACTAGGACGGTCCTATACGAATGACCATAGTCCCGTCTTCCTACACGTGATTGCTGAGCGAACCAGCTGCAACACTGACGAGATGAACTGGAGCCAGCTAAACAGCATCTTCCAGTTATCCCATACTGTAGGACCAGCAGGTTCTCCCACCAAGCCACACCTTCTAAGCGCCATCCCCCTCAAAATTCCAGGAGCTAAACCTGTAAACTTTCCAGCAGCGCCTGAACAACCCACTTGCGTGTGGACCCAATCAAGCTTCTGCAGCTGCTGGTTCCTTCTTGGAAGTATCCTCAAAGTTCTCCCCCTCAACAAGCTCTGGCACCTCATCGTCATCCTCAGCAGCAGCCCCGGCAGCAGCGGCAGCCTCACCCGCCTTCTGATACTCCTGAGCAATCTTTTTCAGCCCGGCCAAGTTATCAGGGCCTGAATAAACAGGACAAGGGGACGGAGGGGGGAGGGTGGGAGAAGCGCGAGGGAGGGGGAAGGGAGAGGGAACTCGGGGTTGTTTCTCTAAATGAGCGCTTTCGACTATAATGCAGAAGCTAGAGAGAATGACGCCGCTCATCCTGTGTGTGCAGACAAATGCATGTACACCCTAACTTTTTTTCCAATGCACATTCACATTTCCTTATACAAAAGTCAACCTCCACATACCAAGCTGGTTGATGATGCCAGGCAGCAATTCTTGGAGATCTGAGAAAAATCACAACAAAGAATCAAACATTGAACCATACCCGTAAGACGTGCGAAAAGAATGTGCGCGTCCAAAAAAACACGGAAGTCAGCGGGGAGTAATGCAAAAACAGCGAACATGCCACTTACTCTTCTCCCGAGGGACGCCACTGACAACCCATGTGTTTGCTCCGATGGACGCTTGCACTGTAAGTGGATAGATTGAATGAACGGAAACACAGTGCAAGGACCAAAAATGTCAAACGACGCCGCAGCTGAATATGAGAAACTTTACCAGCTCAAAAGAAATCATCAAGACGAGCACAAACCAGGGATAACACAACACACGACGCTGGACAGTAGAAAAGCAGCACAATTGTACCCTTAGGGTTGGAGAAATGGAGGACCGTGTCGTCTTTGAAAATGTTGACCTCCTCAATCCCAGGAATCGTGTTCACTCCAAGGCGCTTCAGAGTGCTTGATAGCCTCTTGTCGTCGGTCGTCGTCGTCTTATGAGCGGCCTTCTTCTTTCTGATACGAATGAGGAACCAGAAAAAACGAACATGTCTACAATCAGCGAGGAAATGCGAAAACAACAGTATCACAACGCTTAAAGCGCGCACTTTAAAGTCCGTCAAACTGCTGCTGCGCTGAAATCTAAGGGTGGCTCTAATCGTTGGAAACATATACGCCATTCTATGGGCAACTAGCATTGACAAAGAACACCACATCAGGTGTAAGTAAAAACCACAGCGCTAAAACTACTGAAACAAGCTCAATCTCTTCGCAAGTCAGTCTTGGTGGCACTAAAACCCTGTCAAAGCCTTCGCGTCACAGGCCCGAATATTCTACATCCGAGTTGCGCCTGTCGTAACTAGAACCCTAAAAAACGATAAGAACTGTACCTCCTAACAGTGCCCTTGCCGCCGGTGCGGACGGCAGTGGCCATCTTCATAAGCTTCTCCCGATCCATCTGAAATAAGAACAAGTTAGATGATAAGCAAGCTAGACGACGACGGAGACGCAAACACTAGTACGAATTCGGAGCTAAAAGGCGACTAGAATCACTGACGAGAACTAACCTACCCTAATCCAGAACTCATACCTTGCGCACGGGATGATTCTACGACGTGTTAAAAAGAGTCACGAGGCTGGCCCTGCCTGACCCTACAACTGCTGAGGTGAGCAAATAGGAGAGGGGAAAAGGACTTGATTCTGCAGTGGGGAGGGAGAAAAGCAGAGGAGGTTGCTAGGGAGAAGGGGTGAGAGGTGTGGAGAGAGGGATAGGATTGAGGTGGGGATTGAGGATTGAGAAGGCACAGACCCGCTTGTGGGGACCCTCGACAAGAAGCCCACTAGAGAATGAGCCTTTGACGGGAGAACAACAGAGAACCGTCCGATAATTGACGATAGTCACAAATTCGATATTTGCAGTGTGATTCCAACCCCGATTCCGTATGGGTTTGTGTTTTGAATACTGTGTTCGTGTAATCGCAGATGACTCCATAATGACGTCGGACGAAAGCTGGCGTACCAACCAATAGTAATCCAGCTTCGCCCTGTGACGTGTACCTCGCCGTAACTTCTATGAGGAACTTCCGAGGATCAGTTGAATTCCCCCTCATTCCGGTTTCTTTATTTGAAACGTTCTTAACCTCTTTCAAAACCTCTCCACCCCATTCTCCAGTCCCTCATCCCGCTTCATCATTCAGTCACGCAGCACAGCAGCACGCCCAAACAACAGTCACATACATAGAAGCTAGAAAACTCTTGCGCTTGGTCTCATGGTCGAAGGAACTAGTGGATTCCAGTTATGCTTCAGCCGCCGTTCTGCCTCGAATTTCCGACTTCTTATCAGGACGCGAAACCCTGCGTCCGTCCGTTTCAGCCAGTTTTCACGAGCCGCTGGCCATTCTTAACCGCAAACTAGGCGGACGGTCCGTCATGGAGTGCGTTCACGTGCAAGCGACGGCCAATACACTACCGCTGCCACCCCTGTTATCACCTCCAAGCCTGACAACCCGGAGAAATGCCGATCGTTCATTACGCTGTAATTTTAACTGCCATCGTAGTTTGCCATCCTTACCCGTTAGGCATTATGTAACAACACCGTCGCGGCATCGGCGATTGATTATCCGACGAGCAGCGAAGGGGTGGAGTGGACGATGGGCCCGACAAGAAGCCGACGACTGGGCGAGATCAAGCGACTTTCAAACCCGCGATCCCGCGAATGCCCTGGCGAGTAGTAATGCGGATGCTGGCCGGTGGGGTATCCGCTTCGCGACCTCAAATTCCGATAATCCTTCCAGCATACCATTTCCAAATGGGGACACAAACCAATCTCAGGGATGGCGCTCCCCCATGCAGTCGACTTCTTCTGTTTCTTCCCCAAATGCCACGCCACAGTCCCCTCATGACACGTCATCGTCACCTGCTCCCGATCCAAGCAACCTCATACGCGTCCTCGCATTAGCCATGGCTGCGCGCACCGCCATCGTCGCTGCGGCTGCCGGCTCCTTGACCGCCAACGCCGTCGCTGCTCCGTCAGCTGCTCCTTCTGCTGCCTCCGCGAAACCCTCCAATTCGCCGGCTGGTTCTTCCGCTGCGTCCCTGAGAACCTCCAATTCATCCTCTTCATCCTCGCAACCATCAAATTCGCTGCCGCCATCCCAGTCGCTCCAGCAGCAGCAGCCACTGCAGGAGCTCGGAGGCATGTGGAGAGAAGATAGGAGGGGAGATGGGCGGGGAACGGCGGGAAGCGGTTATAGTGGAATGGATATAGCATTTGGTCTTAATGGGCGTGAGACGTCTGAAAGGGGAAGAGGGTCGGAGCAGCAGCAGCAGCAGCAGCAGCAGCAGCAGCAGCAGCAGCAGCAGGGTGCCGTGGGCATGAGAGGATGGAATGAAGCACCTGAAGCAGCAGTTGTGGGGGTGCGAGGTTTGATGGTGGCACCACAACCAGCAGGCACAGTCATGGGAATGAGAGCGTCGTTTGAAGCGTCTCAAGCAGCAGGCGTGGGGGCGAGAGCATCATTTGAGGCGCCTCAGAACACAGCGGTGGGCGTGAGAGGGCCGCTGCAGCAGAAGCTGCGGTGGGAGGCGGACGGTAGGGGGCGCGGGGGGAGAGGCGGGGGAAGGGGGATGGGCAGGGGCGGGCGGACGGGCAGGGAGTTGCCGCTGGGGGTGGCGAGCGCGGTGAGGGGAGGGGCAGGGGAGCGGTCAGGGGGATGGGGAGGCGGGGGAGGCGGAGGAGGGGAGGGGGAGGGTGGGTGGGGAGAAGCTATCAGGGGAAGCGGAGGAGACAGTTTGGGGGGATGGGGTGCAGGGCAAGCGCGAGGGGGGTTGGGGGAAAGGAGAGGGGATAGGGGAGGAGAGAGGGGAGAGGTGAGAGAAGGAGTTAGAAGGGGGGAGGGCGGAGGAGAGAGGGGGGCAGCATGGGTTGCACAACGAAGAGAGAGTGGGGGAAGGGGTGGTGGCGGAGGTGGCGGAATGGTGGAGAGCAGTGAAAGGGAAAGGGGGGAGGGGGACTATAATGATGGGAATTTGACTGATGAGCACAAGGGGTGGAAGGCGGGTAGTGACAACGGTTGGGATAGGGAAGGAAGGGGGGGTCTGCGTGGGGGAATAAGGGAGAGGTTTGGTCAGGGAGAGGGAGGGGAAAGGGGCGAGGGAGTGAGAGGGCAGGGGGGAAGGAGAGAGGATTCGTTATGGAGAAGGGTTGAGCAGGCGAGTGGTGAGTATAAGGAGGGGAGGGATGGGACGGTGGGGGGATTGGGAAGGGATGGTGCTGTCCGGGGAAGAGGAGCAGGCGAGCAGTCCGGTATAAGGGGGGAGGAGAGGGAAGGGAGAGGGAGAGAGAGGGAGTGTTGGGGCGGTGGGGAGGGATGGAGGGAGGTAGGGGAGGGAGGGAGAGCGGGAAGGGAGCAGTGGGTGGGTAGGGCAAGCCGGGACGATGGGGGAGGTGGTTCAGTGGCAGGTGGGGACGAGTATGTAGGTGATTATGAGGGGAGTGGTAATAGGAGAGATGAGGGAGAGAGAGGGGGCCGAGCGTGGGGCCCTGCTGGTGGGGAGGGGAGAGGTGAGGAGGGGAGAGGTGAGATGCCATTGCGGGTTGGAGGGAAGAGTGGTGCTGGTGGGAGGGAGTGGGATGGGCGAGTGGGAGGAAGAGACGGAGATAGGGGAGAGGGTAGGGGGTTGGGTGGAGAGGGTAGGGGGCTGGGTGGAGAGGGTAGGGGGCTGGGTGGAGAGGGTAGGGGGCTGGGTGGAGAGGGTAGGGGGCTGGGTGGAGAGGGTAGGGGGCTGGGTGGAGAGGAGGAAACGTGGGAGACAAACGCATTGCGGCAACAACAACAGCAGCAGCAGCAGCAGCAGCAGCAGTAGAGAGGAGTTCAGGAAAAACCACTGGGGTTGAGGGGTGATGCTGGTGGCGACAGTGGTCCTTTTGCCACCCAGGCAGTAGAAGGTGCGGAGCAGAGTGCACGGATTGATAGCACCGCCAGGCCAGGTTCTCCCTCTTCCAACCCCAGAAGCACCACCAGCGCCACCACCAGCGGCAGCAGCAACAACAGCAGCAGCGCCAGCGTTGGCACCACCCCAGCCACCCCAACCACTGCTACCATCGCAACCCCCGCAACACCCGACCCAGGCACATCCCTCTCCATGCGCGAGCGCTTCAACCAGTACATGTCGGAGGGCCAGACCCTCCTGCAGGAAGGCCGCGGCGGGCTGCAGGGGCGCATCGAGATCGGCATGGCGGAGGCCTTCCTGGAGCGCGCCACCAGCTTGTTTGAGCGCGCGTGCCAGCTGGACCCAGTGAGCGTGGCGGCCGTGGGGCAGCTGGGGAACGCGCTGCTGGCTCACGGGGAGGTGAAGCTGAGGACCGTGCAGCTGCTGCGGGCGCAGTCACCGCTTGCGGGTTTACTGGGAGGAGCGGGTGGGGCGAGGGGAGAGGGAGTGGGGGGGGTGGGAGCAGGAGGGGGAGGGGCAGCGGGGGTGTTGGGAGGAGCCGGGGGTGGGTTGGCGATGGGGGCGTTGTCAGCAGGGGCGGTGCCAGTGGGGGGGCTGTCGGGGGTGCAGCAGGAGCAGGTGGCGAGGGAGGCGGCGGCTGTGATGGACCGACTGGCTGATGAGTGCGAGCAGCTGCTGGTGCAGGCCGGCCGGCAGTACCGCCAGGCGCTCAGCATGGACAGGAGGGATGCCCGTGCGCTCTTCAACTGGGGGCTGGCCCTGTGCTATCGTGGGCAGCTCGTGTCAGAGGAGGCTGGGGACAATGAGGTGAGGAGGAGAGAAGCGGGGAGGGTAGGGAGTATAGGTTAGATGAGCAGAGGGTTAGGCAGTACCGCCAGGCGCTCAGCATGGACAGGCGGGATGCCAGGGCGCTCTTCAACTGGGGGCTGGCGCTTTGCAATCGCGGGAAGCTCGTGGCAGAGGAGGCGGGGGACAATGAGGTGAGAGGGAGAGCGGGGCGGAGGGTAGAGCTAGATGAGGGAGCAGAGGTTTAGGTGGTACCGCCAGGCGCTCCGCATGGATAGGCGAAATGCACTCGCCTGAACCAGTGCTGCCGCTTTCCTCATCTCTCATTTGCTCCCCCTTCCCCCATCTCCCTCGCTTCCTTGGCAGGAGTACAAGGCGCTAGCGGGCCGCATGCGCCGCATGTTCCCGCATCTCCCTCTCCCTCGCTTTTGGGGCATCTTACGACTGCCATCCGGCCCCCACCCAACCCTCCACGCTCTTCCCCAGCAGCAGGACTACAAGGCGCATACTGTTTTGGAGACATCTTACAAGGGCATCCTGCCCTCCACCCCCCACTCTCTTCCCTGCCAGGAGTACAAGGCACTAGCGGATCGCATGTTCTGTGCCGCCATTGACAAGTTTGAGGCCATGCTCTCCATGACCGACCGCTGGCATGCCAGTGGTGAGTGCCTCCTAAGTCCCTCCCGAACTCCACTATCTCCCTTTTCTCTCTCTTCCAGTCTCTCCCGTCCTCTACTTCGTTCACAGCCATTGCTGTACTCCACTTCTCCCAAGGCCCCTTTCTGTCACCACCTCTTGCCTCCACCACTTCCCAGTAGGGCTCTGTCGTCTGAATCGCTCTGGCCTACACCACTCTGTTCACACATTTTTCATCCGTTTCTTCTCACTTCCCTCATCCCATGCTCCCTCGTCTCCCAACCCAATGCTCTCGCCCCTCCCCATATGCATCCTCTGTCGCCTCGCCTATCCCCTACCCTTCCCCTTTTCTCGTACCCCTCTCGCCAGCTCTCCTCAACTGGGCTCTGGCTCTCAGGGACCGCTCGCGCCTGCGCCCCCTCTCCTCCGTCTCGCGCCTGCGCTTAACTCAGGAGGCCCTGCAGCTGCTGCGGCAGGCCGCTAAGAGAGACTCTCCGCTAAGCGACGGATCCCCCAGAGACCCGACGTTCTCGGAGGTGCGGAATGCGCTGGTGCTGTGTGAAGCTGAGGTGGCGAAGCTGAAGGAAATGGTGGGGAGGAGTGCGGATGGTGGGAGAGGGAATGGGGGGCGCGACATGGGAGCGGGTAGAGTGCTGAGGCCTGGGAATGATACAAACATGCCCGGCTGGTAGGTCTGATGGCTGACGCATAGGTGTCTCTAAGGTGAAAGGTCAAATGCCGAATGAACAACTGGCTAGTTATTGAAGTAATAATTTTCAAGTTCCTGTTTGGATTGTGGGAGCTTTTGTATAGGGTTGAATGCAACTAGTGTTTTGGAAGGCGGTATTGTTTTGGTGAAGTAGTTTAGTTCATGAACTTGCTTACATCCATTTGAAAAGGTTTTTTATCCATTGACCTTGGTTCTTTCATACGGTAGGTAGTTGATTAGGTAGTCATAATGAATGGCCTTATTCACACTAACAATAGTTGCAATAACGGTACCAGCACATTCCAACCCTTCCTGCAATAGCGCTTCCTTGGATCCACCAACTAAACACTGCACGCCCATATACCGCGCACAAAGCGTGTCCAACCAGAACAAACCTCTCTGATCAAGAGTTGGACAGAGCAATCCCAGCAGCAGCAATCAGTCGGATCCGAGATTCCGAGACTTGATCCTCACAGTACAGATTCAAGCTCAGCTTCCCGCCATTGCAGATTCGCTCAATACATCACGAGCACACCAGCCTCCACGCCACATCCACTAGAATACTTACTACTCGTTTACCTCTAGAACGCTGGTGGTTCGTTGATCCGGGTGCCATATATCAGTAGGGTTTTCTGGTGTGCAGTGTTGGAGTCTTGCCTCGTGATTATAACCTACAATCGCCATGGAGGTACGCCGATCAGCATCCGCAATATCGCCACACGGAAAATTACATTCTCAAATCTTGCTTGTGAACTCCCCTTATCTGGCTTCACATTCCGTTAACTTCTCGCAGGTGTCGGCGCCATTGATAAAGAACATCCTGCTACTGGATTCAGAGGGGAAGCGAGTAGCGGTGAAGTACTATTCGGACGACTGGCCTACTCTCGCAGCCAAGCTAAATTTTGAGAAGTCGCTTCTGAGCAAAACACAACGCGCCAATGCCAGAGCAGAAGGTGTGCCTTTTTGTTTTGTTTTGTTCGCTCGCAGTTCAGCTATCAGTTCGTCGAACTGCAGAGGGAAGTATCTTAGACCGCGACAGAATACTCCTTGAGAAAAATATCCTGACCTAGCGATCAGCTGCCTTCATCATCCAATATCTCATCACGGAACTTCACAATCTCGCTCTCACCTTTTTGATTCCGGTTACGCATCTTGCTGTCCGCGTATGGCGTGTTGTGTGTGGCGCGTGCAGCGGAGATCGGCATTTTCGAGGGGTACATCGTGGTGTACAGGTTTATCGCGGATCTGCACTTCTACGTGACGGGCGGCGAGGACGAGAACGAGCTCATCCTCTCCACCGTCCTCACCGCCTTTTTCGAAGCCGTCTCGCATCTCCTCAGGTGATTTCATTTCCGGGACCAGCAACAGTGTGTTCGTCTCTTCCCCTCATTCCGTTCGCCGTTTGTGCTTCTCTCACTCCGTTTCCTGCATGGCATCGCCTCACACTCCCCTCCCATGGTCAACTTATCATTTCTGATTTTTTAGATTCTACATTATTTGAATTTACTAAATTATCTGACATGCGTGTGGTGCGCGGAGCAGGGGCAACGTGGAGAACAACAGTGCTGGCTCGTGCTCGTCTGTTCGTCCTCATCCCGCTCGCCCTATGTGTTGCTTGCTCGCACTTTGCCTCCATGCATGGCATGACGGCAGGGGCAACGTGGAGAAGAAGACGGTGCTGGAGAACCTCGACCTCGTGCTGCTGTGCCTTGACGAGCTCGTGGACGGCGGGTAAGTGCCCGCTCGCTCCCTTTTCCGCTCTGGGTAGAGCTGGGGATGTGGCGGGGGAGTGGGAGTGTGGATCGTTGGTTCGTGTCATGTGTTATGGTGTGTGGGGAAGACGACGAGCTGCTGCCGCTGTGCCTTGACGAGCCTCGTGCACGGAGGGTAAGTTCCCGCTTGCCCTCCGTTCCGCTCCGGGAAAAGCTGGGGATGTGCTTTAGGGAGTGCTGGGGACGTGGTGGGGATGTGTTGGGGATGTGGTGGGGATATGTGGGATATGTGGGAGACGTGGGAGATGTCTTGGGGGTATGTGGGAGATGTGGGAGATGTCTTGGGGGTATGTGGGAGATGTGGTGAGAGATATGGAGTGTGCACTTTTAAATCCGTGTCTTGTGCCATGGTGTGTGAAGTGCACGCAGACCTGTGTAGGGTGGATGGCTGGATGCCTGATGGGATGTTCAAGGTAGGCACTGTGGTGGATGGATGGCCGCAGTTCGGTTGTACCATGTAGAGCAGTGCTATATGAGCAACCTGTGTTTCTCGGCCAGTCTGTGCGTGTGGAGCTAGCCTGTGCGTGTGGGGCTAGCCTGTGCGTGTGGAACTAGCCTGTGCGTGTGGAGCTAGCCTGTGCGTGTGGAGCTAGCCTGTGCGTGTGGAGCTAGCCTGTGCGTGTGGAGCTAGCCTGTGCGTGTGGAGCTAGCCTGTGCGTGTGGAGCTAGCCTGTGCGTGTGGAGCTAGCCTGTGCGTGTGGAGCTAGCCTGTGCGTGTGGAGCTAGCCTGTGGGTGTGGAGCTTGCCTGTGCGTGTGGAGCTTGCCTGTGCGTGTGGAGCTAGCCTGTGCGTGTGGAGCTAGCCTGTGCGTGTGGAGCTAGCCTGTGCGTGTGGAGCTAGCCTGTGCGTGTGGAGCCAGCCTGTGCGTGTGGAGCTAGCCTGTGCGTGTGGAGCTAGCCTGTGCGTGTGGAGCTAGCCTGTGCGTGTGGAGCTAGCCTGTGCGTGTGGAGCTAGCCTGTGCGTGTGGAACTAGCCTGTGCGTGTGGAGCTAGCCTGTGCGTGTGGAGCTAGCCTGTGCGTGTGGAGCTAGCCTGTGCGTGTGGAGCTAGCCTGTGCGTGTGGAGCTAGCCTGTGCGTGTGGAGCTAGCCTGTGCGTGTGGAGCTAGCCTGTGCGTGTGGAGCTAGCCTGTGCGTGTGGAGCTAGCCTGTGCACCAGTGCAGCTGGGTGTGGTGGCATACTTGCTCCCTGTTCATGACTGCCTGTGTTGTGACCGGCTTTGATGAGCCTGGCCACGCTGGTTAGGCGTCCTTTGCCCCTGATTCTCTGACCTATTCGTTGCTCATGTGCGGCCTCCCTTCCCTCCATTCCCTTCCTGAACCCTATCTGTGCTGCCTGACGCCCCATCTGTGCGTCAGGGTGATTCTGGAGACGGAGCCCACAGTGATCGTTGAGAAGTCTCAAATCCTGAACCCTAACTGTGCTGCCTGGAAACCCACCTGTGCTGCTGAATCCTGTGTGTGCGGCAGGGTGATTCTCGAGACAGAGCCCACACTAATCGCCAACTGTGCTGCCTGAACCCCATGTGTGCTGCCTCACACCCATCCATCTGTGCGGCAGGGTGATTCTCGAGACAGAGCCCACAGTGATCGCCAACAGAGTCGCCATGCGAGGAGCCGATGCCGACCTGCCTCTCTCCGAACAGGTGAGGAGACAGTGTGCGATTCCTGAAATACACCATTGCAAGTTGCTTTCCTTGAAAGTGCTTTCCTTCAAAGATATTACATTCCGTTGTGACCTGCTGACTTCCATGCCTAGAGTGATCTCCTTTGCTCACTCCCTCTCCCTACCCCTCCGTCCAACCAGTGGTGCTTGCATCTGTTGTGCAGTGGTGCATCTGACATGCAGGGTTTAAAGCATGGGGAACCATGCATGAACAAATTCTGGAAAATCTTCCTTCACTTTCGCACTTCATCTGCCAATTCATGTGTGTGTGTGTGGTGTTTGTGTGGGTGTGCGTATGTGTGAGTGTGAGAGTGCCTACTTCTGTGTGTGTGTGCATGGGATAATGAATGGTGTGATGTGGGTGCTTGTGTGTGTGCCTGCATGCACATGCACCTGTGGTGTGTGTGTTTGTGCATTGGCTTGTATGGCTGTGTCTGTGTGTGTGTGTCTGGCTGTGACGTGTGTGTGTTCTTCCTCCTACTCCAGACCATCTCCCAAGCCTTGGCAACAGCAAAGGATCACCTCGCTCGCTCATTGCTCAAATGACAAGCCAATATAATTGTTCATTCCAAATGTACCGTAGTTCAATACACATCCTACGAATTCGTCCTTTTACTGACCAATCAATCAGCTCCAAGATGGACTTCCTGTAGGATTGTTCATTGTACGGTATTAGTATCCTTAAAGCTCAAGGCCCAAATTGTTCAACCTTACTAAGGTTGCCCTTTGGGTGGTGGGAGAGGAAGGTTGACTTTTTTTAAGTTGGGCTGTTCAGTTTCGCCCAGTTTCGCACTTCTCCCTCAGGGTTTTCGCTGACTCAGCAAACCCTAGGGAGAAACTCGGTTTGGTTTCTCGAGTCCCAAATTGCACTCTCAATATTCTTGGTGTTTCCTTCTCTCCTATTCGACAAAAAAACTGCTGGCCAATCAAATTGCATCGCACTTCTGGTTTTCTCGATTCGCAACCAAACAACACTAGTAACACCACTCTCATCAACTTTAGTAATCTTGCCCCGCGCGCTTTGCAATTTGGGCCTTGAGCTTTAAAGGCTTTCGGACACTACAAAAGGCGAACTGATTGTGTTGCCTTTATTGGGAAGTGAACTGATATTCCACCAAGTTTCTGCCTGCATTTTTTTTTTTGAAACTTAAAGAAGCGTAACACTGTATATGAACCATCTGCACCTTGCCTTCCACCAGGGAGTGCCTAAATCAGGGTACAGAACCCTGATCAAAGCTACGGTACCAAATCTAGACTTCGGGTACTGGGGTGGGCTGCTGAGCTGGCACTTTGTTTCTAGGCACGCGGCAGCCCACCACCACCACTTCCACAGGGAATTTCGGCGATACCGTCATACCCCGGATATACCCACATGGGGGGCAACAATAAAACAGGTTTTTTTTAGGGGGGTGGGCTTATAATCGAGTAAATTTATAAGCGCCGGCGTTTATAAAATGACATATATAGATTATATATGTTCTAACACTAAGCTGTAGATCCCGTTCTTGCCTTTTCAATCGAGTCGAAGTTACGTGGGTTCGTCTGTGA